ACAGTCAAGTTCATCTAGTTTTTTTTTTTGGATACCAGCCCACAGTGCTATGGCTGTGGAGGCCTAGAGATGGTCATCCAGAAAAGAAATATTGTTTTCTCACAAAATTACATCCTTGGTATCCGTGGGGGAATGTCCCAGGACTTTGCATGGATATGCAGAATTGTGGTAATAGCCTGTTACCTAGGCTTAGTATTTATTTTACTTGGGTGCCATCCTGAGTTCCTTCGATCCAGGATGGGATAAAAATATTTAAAAGTAAATACAGGTAGTCCTCAAGTTACCAACAAGATAGGTGCTATATGTTTGTTCTTAAGTTGAATTTGTTTGTAAGTTGGAATAGGTATATTTTAAAGTGTAATTCCAGCCAAATATTGTTAACTTTGGATAGCCTTAACTTGGGATAGTGTAGAGAAGGGTTAACACCCATGTTGTGTTTTTTTTTTTTTGTGGTCTGTGCCCCTGTTCAGAATATTACACCCCCCTTTCTGTCCCTGTGATAATTGGATTTTGAAAAATTCATCTTGTCGGGGTGAGGAGGGTGGAATACGAGGGTTGAATGAAAAGTAATGCCTCTACCTTCATAATTCCTCAACGGATGATAGTACAGGTATGCGGTAGGTACTGGCTTGTTCAGTAGACTCTCATATACAGTTCCATTTTGGTGGGATGCCTTAGCATGGAACGGTTGTGTTGTTAAAGTGCGAAGTATGGAAGCCTGCACAGACAGTCGGTCAATGCGACTTAAGCAACGTGAAGTCATTGAATTCTTGACAGCAGAAGGTGCCACCCCAAAGGAGATTCATCAGAGAATGCAAGCTGTTTGTGGTGATTGTGTTGATGTGAAAGCAGATCTGCGCGGATATCATCATGCTTCTGATGAAGATGATGAGAGAACTGTGAGATGCTGGTTGTGGAAACAACGTGTCACCTTCTTCTTTGAAGGCTTCAGAAAACTTGTTCATTGTTGGCAGAAATGTATCCAATTGTCTGGTGATTATGTGAAAAAGTGAATAGTGGTAGTTAAAGAGCACATTCTAAGGATTATTTCTGCGTTTGATTTATTAAAATATTCCCATCCAAACCCAAGTAACGAAGATGGAGGCAGTACTTTTCATTCAACCCTCGTATAAGTACTGTAAACAAACAAACAAGTATTGGTGATAAAGCTTCAGTGGAGACCCCTTTTCCCCATGGTAATAACTTTTCCAGGAGTGAATTTCCCTTCTGAGAGGTAGATTTCTCTCACTTCTTGTTGTCTCACCTCTGTTCTTAACTTTGAGTCATTTGTAAGTCAAATGTTTGTTACATGGGGACTGCCTATAATATTGGACTCAGATCCTTGGTCTATAGAACCCAGAACTGTTTACTTTAGCTAGCTGCAACTCTTCAGGGTCTCAAGCAAAGAAGGGCCTTTTCTATCCCACCTGCAACTTGATGGTGTATTGTCGAAGGCTTTCATGGCCGGAATCACTGGGTTGATGTAGGTTTTTCGGGCTGTATGGCCATGTTCTAGAAGCATTCTCTCCTGACGTTTTGCCTGCATCTGTGGCAGGCATCCTCAGAGGTTGTGAGGTCTGTTGGACCCCATTTTCTTACTTTCCAACAGACCTCACAACCTCACAAAGATGCCTACCACAGATGCAGGCGAAATGTCAGGAGAGAATGCTTCTAGAACTTGGCCATACAGCCCGAAAAACGTACAACAACCCAACTCGCTGGTGGTTTTTGGCAAGGGGTGGGAATTTTAACCTGTGCGGAACTCTTCCTTGTTTATTTTGTCGTCTGGGCCTCTAAAATGATGTATGTCTCCTTCCTTCCTTCCCTCCTTCCCTCCTTCCTTCCTTCTTTCCTTCTTTCCCTCCAGCTGAGTATGAGCCACAGCTCCGTCACGATCCCTTTGGCCACCATGTGTCCCGCAACTTTGCCTTGACACATTTCCTCAAGCGCCGCAAAGATTGGGACCGCCATCAGGAAGCAGAGAAGAAGCGGAGGAATCTCTTTGCTGAGATCTTGGATAGTTGAATCAGGCCAAGGAGTGTGACGTTGCGTGCTTTTGGTTGCCGCTGTGGCGTTTTACCCGTGAGAAGCAAAAAAGGACCTTCCATATGGGCAGCCCTCTGCATTCATGCTCCACATGACTGTTCCTGAGCACTGAAATGCTGGAGGACAGTGTACCAGGGGTTGTTGTGGGGCATCCCTATCGTGTGCTCTCAAATGGAAATATTTTTTGCTGATTATTATAACAAACCCCCTTTTTAAACATATGGACTGTTGTATTCTTCCTTTGGAATGGTGTCAGTGAAATCATTGGCCGGGCCCTCGAAACTAATGTTATCTTTCAATTATTCGAGAGCATTATTGACAAGTTTATTCTTTCGAAGCGTTTTCTTTTAGAAGGAACAGGGACATGGGTAGCCGTAGGTGTCCCTGCTTTGTCTGGTGAGAAAGTTCAAGATGGAGCACTCTTTGTTTTGCCTCTGACCCTGGCAATATGTTTCGATCATTTATTTGGAAAGAATTGCCGCTTCTGGGAAAATGTCTCTATTCCAGTGGTTCTAAACCTGTGGGTCCCCAGATGTTTTGGCCTTCAACTCCCAGAAATCCTGACAGCTGGTAAACTGGCTGGGAGTTTTGAGAGTTGTAGGCCAAAGCATCTGAGGACCCACAGATTGAGAACCACTGCTCTATTCTGTATTTTCCGCCAATGAATCAGATTACAATGGCACACCTCAAGAACAAAAGGAGAAGCAAAATCCAGCTCATTAGGATCGGTGAATAGTTCAAACATTGGATGAAACTGGGTTGTTGTGAGTTTTCCGACCTGTATGGTCATGTTCCAGAAGCATTCTCTCCAGATGTTTCGCCTGCATCTATGGCGAGCATTCTCAGAGGTGGAGCCCCCAGTGGCGCAGTGAGTTAAAGTCCTGTGCTGGCAGGATTGAAGACCGACAGGTCGCAGGTTCGAATCCAGGGAGAGGCAGATAAGCTCCCTCTATCAGCTCCTGCTCCTCATGCGGGGCATGAGAGAAGCCTCCCACAAGGATGATAAAAACATCAAATCATCCGGGCGTCCCCTGGGCAACGTCCTTGCAGATGGCTAATTCTCTCACAACAGAAGCGACTCTTGACACGACAAAAAAAAATAAATCTCAGAGGTTGTGAGATCTGTTGGAATCTAGGAAATTAAAAAACTCTAAAAACAGGACAGTAAATAAAGTAAACACTCAAAAACAGGGGAATTCCAGACAAGAAATAATCAGGGCCAGCTAATCACCTCCCAGCAAAGGATTTCCTCTGGCAGTAAGAAGCCAGACCTTGAAACTAGTAGGCTATTAAATGCTGATCAAGGTGGCCAGTTGCAACATTCACACCTACCTCAAACAGACAAGAGTTCTTTCTCCCGCCCTGGATATTATTCCACAGATCTATAAACCCCACTTGTCTAGATTCCAAAAGACCTCACAACCTCTGAGGAGGCCTGTCATAGATGTGGGCAAAATGTCAGGAGAGAATGCTCCCGGAACATGGCCCAGAAAACTCACAACAACCCAGTGATTCTGGCCACAAAAGCCTTCGGCAATACATTGGATGAAACAGCACCAACACAAGTACACAAGGTTCGTCAAAGTTGTTGCAATGTGCCTTCAAGTCTTGTCACATAGTCCAAAATAGGGTTCCCTGCAATTGGGATCTAGTCCTCAATTTCAACTCCTGCACCCTCTTCTCAAGATCCCAAGGCAAAGGGAAGGAATCTCAGGGTGAGAATGCTGCCTTCCAAAGTGTGTGCTGTGAAATCTTGGCTTTGCCTTTTCCTCTCCCCTGCTTCAGTTCCCCTTTTATAGGTTTTCTCAATATTGTAGATACCTGCCTTTGTATTAGTACCTGGGTGGAGCATAAAAACCCCAAGGGGCCAGCCTTAGTTGGTCTATTCCATTTGCCTGAATAGAGCTCCTTTGCTGGACTCCTCCTTTCCCTGCAGCAGAGCTACAGAGAACAGTGACTTGGATATTGTCTGGTAACCCTAGGCCCAAGCAACCCAAAACAGGCATCCTTAGCACCTGCATTCAGCAGTATCCTTATACCAGCAGTCCCAGTGACAACAGAAGCTTTTGACCAGCTGAAGCTTCACAGGAAAGAAGATTGAGACAGCTTATAAGCACTCGCTTTGCACCAAAGGCAGAAGACTCCAGAGAGGTGACTGCAGCCAGCAAAAGTTCCTTTTGTAATGTACTGTTTTAAGTTACCTTATGATAGTCCCGGGTGGAGTTAACCCTTTATTCACCTTGTTTTCATTAAACTCATTTTGGTTATTTTTTTTCACCTTGCCAAAAGTGCCTTTATCTGCTAAGGATCACTGAGTTCCTAGCAGTGAGCCCCCAGTGGTGCAGTGGGTTAAACCCCTGTGCCGGCAGGACTGAAGACCGACAGGTCGGAGGTTTGAATCCGGGGAGAGCGCGGATGAGCTCCCTCTATCAGCTCCAGCTCCTCATGTGGGGACATGAGAGAAGCCTCCCAAATCATCCAGGCGTCCACTGGGCAATATCCTTGCAGACGGCCAATTCTCTCACACCGGAAGCAACTTTCAGTTTCTCAAGTCGCTCCTGACATGACAAAAAACCCCAAAACAAACTGAGTTCCTCACTTTTGGGGTTACCAACTCCAAGCACATTGGCTGTGAGAGTAGCAGTTACCGTCAACAAGGATCGATATTATTGAGTTGCATCAAATCCATTGACTCAATACACAAAGAGCTTTTATATTATGCCAAGCACACACTTAAGTTGTTTAAAGCTATGATAGCCACCATTTATTGAACTTGGTGCCCTCTCTTAGTATGAAGGAGCAGAAAGAGTAAAACAAAGTCCTAGTTTGAGGTCCTCTGAGGTTGCACCCATTTAATTGATGGCTCCAAATGGAGCTTTGGCCAGCTGTGGGTGGAGCGCATTGCATGCATTGCAGGAAAGGATCGCACTTCTGTGTAGGATGGAAGGAAGGTTTCAGTCTTCGTAGGCACGCAGCCTAGCACGTTGATGCCAGTTGTCGCCACCCTCCAAGAGCCGACGGATATAGTGAGAGGCACCCAGAAGGATGTGCCCAATGCCTTGCATGACGGAGGACGTCACCCGTAAGAACTCCCTTGAGGCAAAGAGAGAGGAAAAAATTATATATAGGTTGAGCATCCCTTATTTGTCCCCAGATAGCAATTCCTTAAGTTTTTGATGCTTCAGTGTTCATACACTTTGATACACACATTTATTAAACATCTTGGGTATCAAATTTTCTCTAGTCTATGGATATAAGGGGTATAAGAAACATACCGTATATACTTGAGTATAAGCCGAGTTTTTCAGCCCCATTTTTAGGCTAAAAAAGCCCCTCTCGGCTTATACTCGAGTCAAAGTTTTTATTTTATTCTGTTGTTGTTGTTGTTGTTGGTGTTGTTATTATTACATTTATTATTTTACTCTATTATTATTATTACATTTACATTATTTTACTCTATTATTATTACATTTCTTACTATAATTATTATTATTACATTTATTATTTTAATCTAATTATTATCATTATTATATTTACATTAATTTACTCAATTATTACATTTCTTACTCTGTTATTATTATTACATTTATTATTTTAATCCATTTATTATTATTATTACATTTATTATTTTATTCTCTTTATTAGTGTTATTACATTTACATTATTTTACTCTATTAATACATTTCTTACTCTATTATTACATTTATTATTTTAATCTATTATTAGATTTATTATTTTACTCTATTACATTTATTATTTTAATATATTATTATTACATTTATTATTTTACATTATTGTTATTATGTTTATTATTTTACTCTATTACTTTTATTACATTTATTATCTTACTCTTTATTTTTTATTTTATTATTTTTTATTTTACTTTAATATTATTTTACTCTCTGGTGGCGCAGTGGGTTAAACCGCTGAGCTGCTGAACTTGCTGATCGAAAGGTCATAGCTTCAAATCCAGGGAGTGGTGTGAGCTCCCACTGTTAGCCCCAGGTTCTGTCAACCTACCAGTTCAAAAACATGCAAATGTGAGTTGATAAATAGGTACTGCTGCAACAGGAAGGTAACAATGCTCCATGTAGTCATGCTGGCCACATGACCTTGGAGGAGTCTATGGACAATGCCGGATCTTCGGCTTAGAAATGGAGATGAGCACCAAACCCCAGAGTCAGACATGACTGGACTTAATGTCAGGGGAAAACCTTTACCTTTACTATTATTATTGAAAGGATATGTAAGCACATTTCCCTTGAAGAAGGTTAGAATAATGGTTTAATCAGAGTTGGGCAGTCTTATCTTAAATTACAGTTTTATGTAAATATTCAAAAACATTTAACCTTTTTATGCCTCAATTAATGTAATTTCATTGGTATCTATTTTTATTTTGAACTTGACCAGTAGCTGCTGCATTTCCCACCCTCGGCTTATACTCGAGTCAATACATTTTCCCAGGTTTTTTTTGTAGTAAAATTAGGTGCCTCAGCTTATTCTTGAGTATTTACGATAAATTATTTTTTTCTATTTGGGACCTGATGACATTGGGATATAATGTGTTTATGTCAGTATGCATCCTGTAGTTTTTTGAGGCATACTGTGTTGAGACACGATGCATACTCTCTCCATCACTTCCGAATTATTATGATTTTTACGATTTGAAAATACTGTGCTTTGACTCATCACACCATGGAAGCATTTGAATGGATTAGGCTCCTCCTAATCCATTCAAATGCTTCCCTATGTCACTTCTTACATTTTCTCTCTCTAATATTGTGCAGTGATGCAGCCTGGAAGTTTCAAACTACTGTTCTTGTGAGATTTTAGCTGATGGAATGCATACTGATTTTCACACGTAAAACACTATAATATAATATAATATAATATAATATAATATAATATAATATATTAACACCATAATATAATAGTAAATTAAAAAAAACATGATTATAATCTCGTTTGCAATTACTCAATTTCGGCAACATTTTGCAGATGGATTACAATGAATTACTGATGGAATGGAGCAAATATCATGCAATAGGACCCCTTTCACAATTCTGTTCAAAGAGTCATGAATTGAGTATATCCCAATGTGATAACTTCTGCCAACCTAGCAGTTCGAAAACGCAAACCTGAGTAGATCAATAGGTACTGCTCCAGCGGGAAGGTAACAGTGCTCCATGCAGTCATGCTGGCCACATGACCTTGGAGGTGTCTATGGACAACACTGGCTCTTCAGCTTAGAAATGGAAATGAGCACCAACTCCCAGAGTTGGACATGACTGGACTTAATGTCAGGAAATCCTTTACCTTTACCAATGTGATAAAGTCCTTGGATCCTATCACCAATATATGTCATTATGGACCTTTAATGCACAGTGGTCTGTATCCTAGGAGGGAGGAAGAAAGATGCTTCGCAAGCTCACCTCAACACTTTTTTGGGTCCCAGGCACTTGAAGTCACAGCTCATGGAGTAGAGCCCGTAGAACGTGGCTGAGATATTAAGGCTGCCGAAGAGGTCACGTGGGTTGAGCTTGTAGATGTCGAACGTGATGCGGGCAATGTCCCGGCTGTTTCGGGGCTTTTCACCACTTAGTGCATATGACTGACCACCTCCCTGTCAGTGGAGGGATAGAGAAAGAATCATAGACTCATTGAGTTGGAAAAGACCTCATGGGCTATCCAGTCCAACTCCCTGCCAAGAGGCAGGAAAATAGCATTCAAAGGTTGCGCAATTGCAGACAGGTAGACACAGGATACTAATTTCAGGATGATTTTTTTGTGTGTCAGAAGCGACTTTCGAAACTACAAGTTGCATCTGATGTGAGAGAATTGGCTGTCTGCAAGGATGTTGCCCAGGTATTTTACCATCCTGTGGGAAGCTTCTTTCTTGTCCTGGCATGAGAAGCTGGAGCTGACAGATGGGAACTCACCCTGCTCCCCAGATTTGAACCACCAACCTTTTGGTCAGCAGTCCTGCCGGAACAAGGGTTTAACAAATTATTGGGATGAATAATTGGACAACAATCACTGCTGGCATCTAGGAGGGGTGGATGGAGAAAGGGGTGGTGGAAGGCATGACCATGTCTGGCTATAGGGACATATCCAGACCCCAGGTTCATCTAGCTCTTTGCACAAAGGAAACCACAGACAGCGTTTATGGTTTCCTTCTCCCTCCTCACCTTGCTGTGACTCCACTTTTGGCCCTTTTCTAGCACCATCACGGTTGTGTTATCTTCCAAGGCCTCAAAAAACTCTTCTGTCTCCACCAAAGTACCGTCCTCCTCCAAAACCAAGGACATGATGCCCGACACCAGCAGTGTCTCCCTCACCTGAGAAAGAAGAAGACATCCTGTCAGTTGCAAGTCAAAATTGTATATATCTTTTTAACTCACTGTAAAGATTGGTGTTTGCTCTCTCTCTCTACACCAATCATAGATCTCCAACTTACCTGTAAAGCCACATTTGTCTCCTCCAACAGCCATTCTGTGGCTGGTGAAAAGTGGGAATGGGACTGGGGTCTATCTATATTCCCGAAGCCCAGTGGTTCCCAACCTTTGGTCCTCCGGGTGTTTTGGACTTCAACTCCCAGAAATCCCAGTCATCTTACCAGTTGTTAGGAATGTGGGAGCTGAAGTCCAAAACGCCTGGAGGACCAATCAGTTGTGAAATGATTACCTCATCTATAGGGATACCAAGGTGCTTGTTTTTAAAGCTATTGTCCTCCCAACCCTGCAATATGCCTGTGAGACGTGGACTGTCTACAGACGTCACATGCAACTCCTGGAATGATTACATCAGCATTGCCTCCGAAAAATTCTGCAAACCTCTTGGGAAGATAGCCGGACAAAAGTCAGCGTTGGGTTGTTGTAGGTTTTTTTGGGCTGTATGGCCATCATTTAGAGGCATTCTCTCCTGACGTTTCTCCTGCATCTATGGGAAGATGCTTGCCATAGATGCAGGCGAAATGTCAGGAGAGAATGCCTCTAGACCATGGCCATATAGCCCAAAAAAACTACAACAACCCAGTGATTCCAGCCATGAAAGCCTTCGACAAAAGTCAGTGTGCTGGAAGAAGCAAAGACCACCAGCATTGAAGCAATGGTCCTCTGCCATCAGCTCCACTGGACTGGCCATGTTGTCCAGATGCCTGACCACTGTCTCCCAAAGCAGTTGCTCTACTCCGAATTCAAGAATGGAAAATGGAATGTTGATGGACAGGAAAAGAGATTTAAAGATGGGCTCAAAGCCAACCTTAAATACTCTGGCATAGACACTGAGAACTGGGAAGCCCTGGCCCTTGAGTGCTCCAGCTGGAGGTCAGCTGTGACCAGCAGTGCTGCAGAATTTGAAGAGGCACAAATGGAGGGCGAGAGAAATGTGCTAAGAGGAAGGTGCATCAAGCCAACCCTGACTGAGACCACCTTCCACCTGGAAACAAATGCCCTCACTGCGGGAGAAGGTGCAGATCAAGAATAGGGCTCCAGAGTCACCTACGGACCGACCAGAACACTGATCTTGGAAGACTATTCTACTTGGCCAATGAGGGATTGCCTAAATAAGTACCTCATCTATTGATGGATCTTGGCAGATAGGATAATGATTTTGCTTCTGGTTATGAAAACTAGGCCAATAGTTCTCCGATTGTGTCTTCCTGCCTGACAGAATGGGGTTGCGCTGGATGGCCCTTGTGGTGTCTTCCAACTCTGTGATACCATGACACCTCCTGCTCTCCACCAGCCAGTGAAAGTCCATGAAGAAAGAATACAATTGCAAGTTCTTCCTAATGTTCAGATGGAATCTCCTTTCTTGTAGTTTGAAGCCATTGTTCTATGTCCTAGTCTCCAGGGCAGCAGAAAACAAGCTTGCTCCCTCCTCCCTATGACTTCCCCTCACATATTTATACATGGCACTCATCATGTCTCTCTCAGCCTTCTCTTCTGCAGGCAAAACATGTCCAGCTCTTTAAGGTGCTCCTTATAGGGCTTGTTCTCCAGACCCTTGATCATTTTAGCCACCCTCCTCTGGACACATTGTCAACATCTCCCTTCAATCGCTGTCCCCAGAACTGGACACAGTGTGATTCCAGGTGTGGTCTGACCAAGGCAGAGCAGAGGGAGAGCATGACTTCCCTGGATCTAGACACTAGACTCCTGTTTATGCAGGCCAAAATCCCATTGGCTTTTTTTGGCCACCACGTGACATCATTGGCTCATGTTCATTTTCTCATCCACATGGTCTCCAATATCTACCTACCTTCACCAGCAACTCCTGCAAGGTCCCTGCCATCAACCCCTTACGGATGCTGCGTTTGTGGTCGCAAACCCGGAAGGGGCGCTGCGGTGGAGGGCTAGGTGACCAGACGCGTCGGGTGAGTTCTGTACCTGCATTCGATACTGACCTGGAGGGACAGAAACACAAACTTAAGACACTGTGTCAGAAGCCTGATCTGACTTCCAAAATCCACCAATAAAAGCCAGTCAGCTGACATGAGTGATTGAACGGTTCTGGTAACTTCATGACCGGAGTCGTCAAATAGCACACAGCTCTCTAAAGTCACAAATGTCTTTTTCCCAAGAGGGCTGGTGGCTATTAAGGTGGGTTTTGAATGGCAGTGCTACCACAATCAGAAGGGTGAGTAGTTGCATTGTCTTAAGTCTATCTTACGACATTTTAACATGACACCGGTTTGGGTGTTCATTGCATACTTACAGCAGGTTCTGGGAAGGATTTTGGATTAGTAGAGGTTGAATATCCCTTATCCCAGTGTTTCTCAACCTTCCTAATGCCGTGACCCCTTAATACAGTTCCACATGTTATGGTGACCCCCAACCATAAAATTATTTTTGGTTGCTACTTCATAGCGGTCATTTTGCTACTGTTATGAATTGTAATGTAAATATCTGATATGCAGGATGTATTTTCATTCACTGGACCAAATTTGGCACAAATACTGAATACTGGTGGGGTTGGGAGGGGGAGGTTGATTTTGTCATTTGGGAGTTGTAGCTGCTGGGATTTATAGTTCATCTACAATCAAAGAGCATTCTGAACTCCACCAATGATGGAACTGAACCAAACCTGACACACAGAACTTCCATGAGCAACAGAAAATACTGGAAGTCTTTGGTGGGCATTGACTTTGAGTTTGGGAATTGTAGTTCACCTGCATCCAGAGAGCACTGTGGACTCAAACAATGAGGGATCTGGACCAAACTTGGCACAAATATTCCTTATGCCAAAATATGAACACAGATGGTGTTTGGGGGAAATAGACCTTGACATTTGGGAGTTGTAGTTACTGGGATTTATAGTTAACGTACAATCAAAGAGCATTCTGAACCCCACCAATGAGAGAATTGGGCCAAACTTCCCACACAGAACCCCCATGACTAACAGAAAATACTGTGTTTTCTGTTGGTCTTTGGCAACCCCTTTGACACCCCCTCATGATCCCCCTCCGGGGGTCCCGACCCCTAGGTTGAGAACCACTGTCTTATCCAAAAGGCTTGGATTCCACATTGGGTCTCATTCCAGAGAGATAAACAAGATAACAACTGCTACTCAATGACAACAAATGAAATAAACCGCCATTCTATTTAAGACAATCCCATAGCCTCCACATCAAATATGTCATCATAGCCCAGCTATTGGAAAGGACTGACAACTATGGGTTAGCACAAGCATGGGCAAGCTTCAGACCCCTTAATACAGTTCCTCATGTTATGGTGACCCTCAACCATAACATTATTTTCATCACTACTTCATAACTCTCATTTTGCTGTTGTTACGAATCGTAATGTAAATATCAGATATTCAGTATGTATTTTTATTCATTGGACTAAATTTGGCACAAACACCCGATATCCCCAAATTTGAGTACTTGTGGGGGTGGGTGGGTGGATTATTTTTGTCATTTGGGAGTTGTAATTGCTGGGATTTCTAGTTCACAATCAAAGAGCATTCTGACCTCTACCAACAATGGAATTGAACCCCCAGGTTGAGAAACACTGTTTTAAGGCATTAGTTGCCTATATGTAAAACTGCCTTGAGTTCCCTTTGGGGTTGAGAAAAGCGGGGTATACATAGGGTAAATAAAATAAATAAATATTTATTTATTTTATTTACCCTATTTTTTACTCTTTTCAAGGCATTGCTGTTGCTTTGAGATTCCTCCCTCTTGCCCTAAAGATTGGGGAAGGACAGTCCAAGCTTTCATGTTTAGTGTATTATTAATTTATATCCTTCCTTTCACCCACAACTGCTTTCTAAAATGGTCTTAATTAACCCCCTTTAGCATAATGTATCAACACGGTGATGTGGAAGCATTTATTACCATATCTTTTGGTCCTTGTAGGACATCAGTGTCAGAGTCCAAGTTCCACTTTGAGAAGGAAGTGACAGCAAGAACTATCTGTGCACTTGGGCTTGGCTGATAACATTAAAATATAAACATTATCTTTCCAAGAGTCAGGGTTGTTTGTATCATCTCCCTTTGGTATAAATTCACAATATATAATGTTTGTAAATTCAAAGTTGGAATTTAATGGCTCATTCCATGCAAGCTTGAACAAACGTAGCCTCATCTAATGTTAGAAATTAAGCAGAATCTGATCTAGTTGGATGGGAAACCATCAGAACGTAAACCAGGGATCCCCACAGGGCCAATAAACAATCCTGAGAGCCTTATGGTCGTATCCACATTGCAGCATTATAGCACATTGACATCACATTCACTGCCATGGCTCAGTGTTATGGAATATTGGGAGTTGTAGGTTTGTGAGATATTGATCCTTCTCTGTCAGAGAGCTCTGGTGCTTCGGCAAACTACAAAACCCATGATTTCGTACGATGGATCTACAACAAAGTAATGTAAAGATACAATAATTCTACAGTGTGGATGGGGGGGGGGGAGTTATAGCTCTTTCATCATCATCATCATCATCATCATCATCATCATCATCAAACTTTATTTATATCCTGCCTTTCTCTCCATGAGAACTCAAGATTTTTTTATCGTGTCAGAAGCAAATTGAGAAACTGCAAGTTGCTTCTGGTGTGAGAGAATTGGCTGTCTGCGAAGATGTTGCCCAGGGAATGCCTGGATGTTTTATCATCCTGTGGGAGGCTTCTCTCATGTCCCCTCATGAGAAGCTGGAGCAGACAGATGGGAGCTCACCCCATATCACGGATTCAAACTGCTGACCCTCAGGTCAGCAGTTCAGCCAGCACAAGGGTTTAACCCATTGTTCCACCACAGCTCCTGGAACTCAAGATATCTAACAACCACACAATCTAATAATAATGTAAAACAAAGTAAATACAAACATTAATAAATAAATATTAGGGTGTGGATATAAAATTAGGTAAAGGTAAAGGTTTTCCCCTGACATGAAGTCCAGTTGTGTCTGACTCTTGGGTGTTGTGCTCGTCTCCATTTCTAAGCCGAAGAGCCGGCGTTGTCCGTAGACACCTCCAAGGTCATGTGGCTAGCATGACCGCATGGAGCGCCATTACCTTCCCACCGGAGCAGTACCTATTGATCTGCTCATATTTGCATGTTTTCAAACTGCTAGGTTGGCAGAAGCTGGGGCTGACAGTGGAAGCTCAAACCGCTCCCCGGATTCAAACCTGCGACCTTTCAGTCAACATGCTCTAAATACAATTAAACTTACATTTAAAACTCACTTAGAATTCTCAGCCTAAGAACTCTGGGGCTTCACTACACTACAAATCCCACACAGTGATCTTAGATGGAGTCGAACCTCCTGTCATCACCTATTCCAAAATCCATAGCCTAGAGTGCCTGTACGTTATAGAATTAATATAAGTTGATATCACTTTAGCTACCATGGCTCAATGCTATGCAATAATAGGAGCTGTAATATGGAGATGTTATTGACAACAGGGAGGCACCAGCTCTCCTAGGCAGGGAAGGCTAAAGCCCTTGTACAGCTACAACATCCAGGCTCCTATAAGCATTGAACCTTTGCAATTGGTATCAGCATTGGTATCAAAGTACTATCAAACTGCGTTCAATCTACAGTATAGAATCCTCCACCCAACTTCCCTCTTTGACTTTGAGGGCCTGATCCTTCATTATCCCCAAATGCTTACTTTATCAAAGTTGTAGGCACCAAAGCATTGATATACTCCATAATGCAAGGAAAGGACTTCTGGGGTTCTATGAAGATGTGCGTTTATTTTTCCTTCCTTCCGTCTTTCCTTCTTTCTTTCCTTCCTTCTTGTTAGCGTTGTTGTAAAGAGGCAACTAGTCGGTCTGTTTTGTCTAGCTGGACTCTGAACTTTACTGCTCATGCGCAGGGAGTTGTTGTGGGGGGAAATTGGGGGCAAATTCCAAGTTGAGTCATTGAAAGCAGGGCTGGATAATTGAGTAACTTCAGGCTTCATGCTCTGAGTAACGTCAGAGTTAGAATCACATAGTTGGAAGAGACCTCGTGGGCCATCCAGTCCAAACCCATTCTGCCAAGAAGCAGGAAAATCACATTCAAGGCACCCCTGACAGATGGCCATCTAGCCTCTGCTTAAAAGCCTCCAAAGACGGAGCCTCCACCACTCTCTAAGGCAGAGAGTTCCACTGCTGAACAGCTCTCACAGTGAGGAAATTCTTCCTAATGTTCAGGTGGAATCTCCTTTCTTTCCTGTAGTTTGAAGCCGTTGTTCCATTGCGTCCTAGTCTCCAGGGCAGCAGAAAACAAGTTTGCTCCCTCCTCCGTATGACTTCCCTTCACATCTCGATCCATGGCCCTCATCATGTCTCCTCTCAGCCTTCTATTCTGCAGGCTTAACATGCCCAGCTCTTTAAGCTGCTCCTCATAGGGCTTGTTCTCCAGACCCTTGATCATTTTAGTCACCCTTCTCTGGACACATTCCAGCTTGTTGACATCTCCCTTCAATTGTGGTGGCCAGAACCAGACAGTGTGATCCCAGGTATGGTCTGACCAAGGCACGATAGAGTGAGGGATGAGGGGTAGTATGACTTTCTTGTCCATTAAAGTGGCCTTTGGGAAGTTTCATTCTGAGTGCATCTACACTATAGAATTAATGCAGTTTACCTATTTATTTCTTTATTTAAAATATTTATACCCTGCCCTTCTCAACCCCCTCCGGGGGGGGGGGGGGAACGGACTCAATGATTCGATGCCCCTATACACACATAATTAAACACAATAATTACATATAAATAAAACATTCAATGAATTCAATTTAAAACTGTTTAAGACATTATAGCCTGGTGGCCTAATCTAAGCTGAATTCTGTGACCAGAAGCTTGTCCATAGTCCATTTCCACAGCGAATTGTCATCATTACCATTGTCATTGTCAGCGTGCTACCTGAAAGCTTGGACCTACAATGGCTCAAAGCTATGGAATCAAGGGAATTGTAGTTTGGTGAGACACTGTCCCTCTTTGGTAGAGAAGATTATAAAGACCTTGTATAACTACAACTCCCTAGACTCCATAGCCATGGCAGTTAAAGTGATGTCAAATTGCATTGATTCTACAGTGGAGATTTACTCAAACACCCAAGAATGTGGAGGAATGTGGACCAGAAAAGAGATTTTGATCTTAATACTAGGAAGTTACTTGTGCTATTCGACAGAAGAATGGATTGCTCAGAGAGTATGCCCTTGGAGGTCTATAAAGAGAAGCTAGATGGGCATCTTTTGGGAGTGCTTTAGTTCTAGAGCAGGCATGGGCAAACTTTGGCCCTCTGGGTGTTTTGGACTTCAACTCCCACAACTCCCACAAGGTTCATAATTTGGTATACTATCCATAAAAACATGTAAATCACCCATAAGAGACTCTCAGTATGTTGGTATAAACCTATTTTGCATATCACAACCAATATCTTTGGATTCAGTTCTCAACACATGAGTGAAGTGTCTTGATTTCGTATAGGAACAGGATGTGATGTCCCTTGGTTGGAGTGGATATAAGCTTGAGGCTCGATTGAACCCTTCCAAGTGCTTTTGGGGTTCCTGAAAGCAACAAGGAGCTGAAACCCAAATAAAAATGCAAACTGATGCAAAACTATTACTCATTTACACCTTTTTTTCTCACCAATTGCCTGCACTTCAACTCTTTGGCTATTTTTAAGCCCTAGTTTGCAAGAAAGGCAAGGAGGAGGAAAAGCAAAGCAAGATGTGGTCAGCTCAGTCTCTGAGATGGAAACCACATCTTTGGGGTGGCCAGACAATGCAATGAACCTGTAGACCGAGAAGTGTGCTTGGTTAGAAGTTTGTGCATTAGGTGCTGGTTGGTAGGAGGATCAGACGATGCAGTTTTTGTCTTAGTCTTTGCTGTCAGAGAATCTTGCAAATGAGCTGGACACCCCCAGCTCTATCTGGAGAGGATCGGAGAACCATCATTGGGAGCCTCAAGGCATCCTAGTTGAGGATGGAGTCCTTGGCCTTGATGACAGGTTTGGATATCCTTTTCCTCACTTCTTGCCACTGTCATTCTCTTTTCCTGAATTCATTACCTTACTGCTCTTCACCCATTGTCTCTCCACCTCTTCTTTACCTAGATCAGTGGTTCCCAACCTGTGGGCCGTGGGCCATGAGACCTAAAAGAAGGTCCATAGCTCTAGGTTATTAAATATGGTTTTCTTTGGGCGAGGAGATGGTGACTACTGGATGACATATGTTCTATATCAGAAACTAGAGCTGATGTGGTCTATTCAATGCAATTTTCTGAACAATAGCTTTATAGACAAGCACCTTGGTATCCATATGGATGTCCCGATCCTCAAACACCCTCTGCTTCATTCAGAAAAATGCTGCACTCGCAGAGCTCAGGCGGTGTTGTATTTCAGTGTCAATATTGACTTTTGTGGAAAGGTGGCTGCCAAGGTAGCAGAAATGGTTCACATTTTCTAAGCTGTATTTCTGGCATTGGAGAAGTATTGGCTGGTGACTTTCATCCTTCCCAAGGTCTTTCTGCTGCTTTCCTGTCCTCCTTGATTCCTCCTTCCTTTCCTCCCTCCTTCTGTCTCCATTGGTGTATAGAAGGGGAAGCTAACTAACCGCTTTCTTTTTGCTTCTTTCAGTGGCATTCTCAGTTCTTTGCTGGATGGGGACATTTGCAGGTAAGAATAAGAAATTCATCCCTGGGGCCAGAACCCCAAGGTAGGGATGTGAGAGCTCGATAGGACCTGGTCTTGTATCTGAAGGAAGGAGGTAAAGAACATCTCCCTTCCTTTCACAGGTACATGGGTATATGCATCTCTTCCATCCCCTACGCTCTCCTTGTCTCCTCCATTCAGCACCTTTTTCAGAGGAGAGTTCATTTGGTTGGACTGCAAAGCCCCAGCAGGACAGAAGGGATCATGGTTCTTCTTCTTTCGAATGAACCGACGAAACCAATGGATTAAATACATGGAACAGGCAACACATTCTTTGCAGATTGCCACAACACATCTGAAGTCAAAGGAATTTTTTGCTTGTTTGTACAAAGCAGAAGACAACAGAGGAAGAAGTTTTGAATCTCAAAGGAGTAAAGGTGTACTTTTCTCCATCATTGGTAAGTCTCTGGGTAATAGTATGATAGCTGGGTCCAAAAGCTCCGAGTGTTACGCTGTTGCCGCTTTGCTCCTTCAAGAGCATTGTTTGTCAAGGCATAACGGAATACGTGACGGAGTGTAAGAGTTCTTTAATAGCAAAACCCTTACCCTTACCTGAACTCTAACCCTTACCCTAAACCTTACCCTAAAGCAAACTATAACCCTAAAGCTTACTCTAAAGCTTACCCTAACCCTAAGCCTAACCCCTAACCCTAAACCTTTCCCTAAACCTTATGCTAGCCCTCCCCTCATTTCTTTAGTTCCACCAAATGCAACTACAAAGTATATTCCCACCCTCAGTGTGCCACTCTCCCTTATTCACAACCATTGTTCCGGAATGTGTGTAGCACTCGAAGCTTCCGGATCCAGCTATCATACTATCACCAGTCTGCTTTCCTGGTGAAAGATTTCACTTGTCCAGAAGACTAGTCTGGTCTGGAAGTTATGCATTTTTAAGGAGAATATCTCTGAATTGGGAGGCTTTCTAGCAGCTGAGACAAGACTGTGGAGGAGAGCAAAAGGATCCCCATCTTCTAAATTAGGATCTCTAAGAGAAAAAAAGTTTCATTCTACAATGCATCTATAGTCGGTATGGGCAAACTTATGGCGTAATGTAAAATAACTCTTTCTCACTCTGCTTCTCTGTCTGCACTTGCATAGCTCAAGCCTGAACAAAAATGTAACAGTATCCAAAAGTCCCAGGCTCAGCCATCTCCCCAGGCATTGCCCGACTAATCAGTTTGATGTATCTTATTTTACAGTTGACACACACACACACACACACACACACTGATTTCTTACATGCTCCACAACATAGAATTGTGGGAGTTGAAGTTCAAAACACGTGGAGGGCTCAAGTTTGCCCATGCCTAATTTATAGTCTACCTGTCTACCTGTCTACCTGTCTACCTGTCTACCTGTCTACCTGTCTGTCTATCTATCTATCTATCTATCTATCTATCTATCTATCTATCTATCTATCTATCTATCTATCATCTATCTATCTATCTATCTATCTATCTATCTATCTATCTGGTATGCCCAAAGCATAATCTAACAAGGAACTTTGTGAATGTGCTTCTCTGAGAGTTTGGGATATCATTGTGATCATTTTATTCCCTAACTGGTTGGATGGTTTTATCTCCTTTTTGTTGGGAATGCAGAGTGCCCACGAGCTCCAGTTCTTTCCCCAAATCCTCAGCATTCCTTTTACATCGCGGGAGACGAAGTTACCCTGAACTGCGCAGCTCCTGAAGGACAAGTTGTAGCGGGATACAGATTCTTCCAGGAGAAACATGACCAGAAACTACTCTTCTTTGAAGGACAGAAACCCCACAAAGACATACAAGTGGATGAAAATGTTGCTGGACAGTTTGCCTGCAGGTACTGGATTCTGACTTCAGAAGGGAGGCAAATTCAGTCCCTGGAAAGTAACACTGCCCCCATAGTGGTGAAAGGTGAGCTGTTTGTGATGGGATGGAACTGCAATGTTTTTGTTGATTTTAATGGGAAGCAAAGAAAGAAGGCAACCTAAGGAGAGCATGGAATTGTAATGATCGTCATTGAGGTGTGGTGGGATCTCATTCTGGTTTCCTTCATCTGCTCTTTCTTCTTATATTGTAATTTGGCCATGGTTCCCCATGAAGTTGTCTGATGGCACCATGGCTTCCTCTTCAACTCACCAGATTCATAACCAAAGATCCATCACAGCATTCCCTACTTATCTTTTGTCAATGATTCTTCTCCAGCTCATCCTCCAATTCCAGAACTGAAGATAGATCCTCCATCTGGAGTACTACTAGAAGGGGAAATCCTACTTATCACTTGCTTGTCCATTGGGAACCATACGGAGAAACGTTTCCATTTCTTCAAGGATGGAGCTGAAATTGGGCACACCAAGCAGGGGTCTCTGAAATATTCCGAAGGACATGGAGGTGCCTCTTCCAAGGTCTTTCTGAGCATCTGCCTACAAGCCCAACCCAACCTAACAGGGGAATATACTTGCAGGTATGAAGAAAGCTTGAGTGGCAGGTGGATCATGTCTCCTTGGAGCCAGAAGGTCAAGGTCACAGGTGAGTCCTGTTGAAGAGGGTGGCTTCATAGTAGACAGAGCTTTCTTTTGAAAGGGGATGTTTTGTTTTTGTGTTTCACTTGAAATCAAAGAACCTGGTGAAGGGAGGACAAAAGCTTTGTGTGCTCAGTTGGCACCAACTGTTACACATGGAGCATTGCTAACGAAGGGACAATGGCTGGGGAATAGCAACAATCTGGATTGTGGACCACATACATTTGGATTAGGCCTTTGTTTCACTTCCAGGTGTAAATACTGCTTCTTTTTATTTAAGGGCTATGCTTTAAGAAAATCAACCTTGGAAAACAATGAACTTTCTGCTTGTGCTTTGGTTTTATTAGTTTCCAGTTTGGTGCAAATGTCATACATACCATGGTGGGCTATTCGATTCCTACTCTTGCTGATGATTCCCATCCCTTTCTGCTTAATGAGAAAGGACAATGGTAAGTGGTAAGAGTTTGTAGAAACCTCTTTTCATGGTTTTAATAATGTTTCCAGAGAAGGGAGAAATGGATGAGAAGGTTCTGTTTTGAACCATCAACAGAGCAGCAAAATAAATATTATTGTACAAAGAAGCTTCTGGATTGGTATTTATGGATATTTGAAAGATTGCCTGCTTGCCACATGAGGCGGCCTCAAATCGGAGAGGAAGATTTGTTATAAGTCCAAATCTGCTCCAAATCTGAGAGGAGGCCCTGTTGTGTGATCTAACATTTCATGGAGTGAGGTGGATCCATGGAACAGGGCTTTCTCTGTAGTGATGAAGGCATGATGAAAATACATAATACACATATTGGAAAATATATATTTGATGTAACTAACCATATTAGAAATAGGAGTTAGAAAATATATGAAATCACAAAGAGAAATGTATGTATGCATGGCCTTCACTTCACTTGGCTTCTTAAAAGCTGCAAAAATTAGAGGCCAAGGTCTAAAGAAAGGAATGTTAAGAGACCTCTGGCATATTTCAAGAGGTTCCATTCTGGTACCAGGCACCTTATCATAAGATTAATGAGCTGGCCATCAAGAGGCTTCAGGAAGAACTTATCTTAAGATGGATGGAAGCTCTTGCTATCGGGTCTAGTAGACATTCTGGCGATGATCTTCATTAATAGCACCTCCTCAGATAAGGATGCTCAAAATGAAGATTGACAGGTGTTGAGTTTGAAATATGCCATTGAAGTCAATGTAAAAGTGGAATTTTGTGACGCACATTGTGATGCCTGTATGATGCATGCATATTATTTTAAAGGGTATATAAACCAAGCCTTTTCTTTGTTCTGTACCCCTTTTCCTGGCTTACCAGGAGGGTCCATATCCGGTTGGCACCAACTGAGAAAAAACCCTGCTTTTCAGACCTCAGGACCTCTCTTTGTCTCTTTTCCACAAACCTCCTCCCTTCCATTTCAGTAGCATCCCTTCACTGGAAGAATTCCTTGTGCAAGGAAAAGTAAGGCTGGATCCATCTCTTTTAAGCTTCCCCCAGGCAGCCCAAAAGGGCTTTTTTCACACAGCATTCAATGTTTGAGACTGAATTATTTTTAGGGGTCACAAAAATGAGTCTTAGAGGCTGCATGTAACCCCTGATCTGCACCTGCACATGAACTAGATAGGAAATAATAAGGCAAATAGCTCTGTGGTTTCATTCCTGATAGCCCTTTCCTTTCTATTTCTTCTTTAGAACCATCAAAAAAACATCAGGAAGAACTGAAGTCAGGAGAAAGGGAAAGGATACCACTCTAGAGCTATGGTTCCTAAACTTTTGGATCATGAAACTCCCCTTGTTCCCTGCCCCGCAGAACCTTAACTGTGTCCCTAAGCATTGTGAGGCTGCAAAGGTCTTTCTTCTTTGATGTGCTGCCATTGCCTCTATGCGTTGCATTATGTTGGTTTGCAAATAAAGGGATTCAAACTTCGTTCTTCGTTCGTACGATGAATTTCAACATGATCTTCATACTTGGGCACAGGCTTTAAAAGGTTTTTAAAAATGTATTGTCGAAGGCTTTCATGGCCGGAATCACTGGGTTGTTGTAGATTTCTTCCGGGCTATATGGCCATGTTCTAGAGGCATATCTGTGGAATGACCAGGTTGAGACAAAGGACTCTTGTCTGCTGGAGCTAGGTGAAAATGAACAAAAACTGGCTACCAATATTAAAAAACTCTAAAATTACAAGAGCAAAACAACAGAGAGGAAACAATCTGGCACATCTAATCACCTCTCAACAAAAGATTCCCCCAGGCACTGCCAAGCCATCAAATGCTAATTAAGGTAGTGAGTTGAAACATTCACACCTAGCTCCACAGACAAGAGTTCTTTGTCTCACCCTGGTCATTCCACAGATATATAAACCCATTTTCCTACTTCCAACAGACCTCACTACCTCTGAGGATGCTTGCCATAGATGCAGGCGAAATGTCAGGAGAGAATGCCTCTAGATCATGGCCATATAACCCGGAAAAACCTACAACAACCCAGTTTTTAAAAATGTTTTAAAGATTTTTCATTGAACTCTTATGATGCTTTCAGTGTACAGCCCAAAATCATCCTTGTTTCACAATAAAAGAAAATGCACAGGTGCAGAGCTTTGTGTTGGGAACTCAGTTGATTCTGATTGGGTCATTATATAAGATTGTCTCCTTGCCTTGTGATCGCATTTCCTTCTACGAACCTGCACAATCTCTTCGATATTTGGGGAAGACCCTCCTCTCACTCCCACCTCCGTTATAAGTGTGGCTTGTGGGGACAAGGGAGTGGGCCTTCTCCGTGGTGGCCCCTCGGCTCTGGGACTCGTTGCCCAGAGAGATCAGGCAAGCACCCACCCTAGCAGTTTTTAGGAAAAGTCTAAAGACTTGGCTTCTCCGGTGTGCTTTTGGGGAATGAACAACAAATCTCCATGCCTTGTCTGTCCCAGTACTAATCTGATGCACTTTATCTCATCCCTCAGAGAAGATGAATCTCATTATTTTTCCCAGCTGAGTCTCCCATTAGATACTTTATCTATCTCACTGAGGGGTTTTTATAATTTTATCCCTTGCATTCATCCCAGCCCACTGCGTTTAATCCTTTTATCATTCTATATCTTGTGGTTATTTCCTACTGGTATCCACAGCTTCACCTACCTGCATTTGGCAAAATGTCTTCTAGGCATTTCTGTGGCATGCTTATGTCAGCAGATATCATGCTGGAAGACCAAGAAAATCCCTGGAGATGTCACTTTGAGATTTAAAAATTGTTCTCTTACTGTGCCTACATCTTGGAAGGTCAAGAGGGGACTCATGGGAAGAAGAAGAGGTGGAGAAACATCCCTAAGGTTATCAGTTTACATCACGGAGGAGACAGGATAGGAAACAGAGAAGGAGGATGCTTCATGTGACTCTATCTTACTGTATTAATACTACCCACTGTGAGGCAATCTCACCCTTCAGTGCTAAGTGTTGTTGCATTTCCAACAGAAGCCACTCTGGACCAAGTCAATACACTATGCAATCTTGTGATTCATAGATCATATTCTCTCCAGACTTTGGTTTGTCAGCATGAGAGCCTCACATCTCTCTCTTTCCCTAAATAAAGTTGTGTCTTTGCTATACTAGGTCCAGTCATCTCTTAGAATGCAGAAGAAGAACGAAATCCAGCTTTAGAAGGAGAGTTGGCCTGTCCTTCTCCTCCTCCAGGGTGGATTACAATGTACATATACATGGCAAACATTCAATACCATAGACACACAATATATATAGACACACAGAGGCAATTTAACATTCCAGTTTTTTCTTTGAGGGTATTTTTCTTTTGGCCACTAGGGGAGCTGTTCCTTCACTGAGCATTTCTGACACTGATGAAGTATTTCCGCATTCTTTGCATGCTTGCTGGAGATTTTTATGGACTCGTAAATTAGTTAAATTTGCCTCCCCGCATAAGTGGAACTTAAATTTCCTACTTGACAGATGCAACTGTCTTTCGGGCTGGAAAGGTTGACAGCAAGCTACACAAATTGGTCGATCCGGGCTGGCTTCGAACTCATGACCTTTCGGTCAATAGTGTTCTTAATGCAGCTGACTCCTACCAAGCTACTCCACAGTTCCGGTGTTTTTTGTCCATAGTTTTCTTTCTCCAGTGTAGAAACAATCCTCTGTGGGTTTGTATTAAGAGGAACTGGAGATAAACCTGTTTGTTGTGTTGTGTTTATTGGTAATCATGGCCTGGGATTTGGCTTATAACCCATGGCATTGGGCAGGAATCGGGTATGGAGTTTCCTGGTTGGAGGAGGAAGTCTTGGAAGCCGAAACCCAATAAAGATGCAAACTGTTGAAAACCAATTGCTCATTTGTTCCTTTGCCTTCTCACCTCTAGCCCCACATTGCAACTTTTTGATTATTTTTAAGCACTGGTTTACAAGAAAGGCCCAGAGGAGGCAGAACAAATCCGGATGCGGTCAGCTGCATATTGGAGCTTGAAACCATGCCTTTGGTGTGGCCAAGCAGGGCCAGGAGCCTATAGCCTGAGAAGTGTGCTTGACTGGAGGTGTGAAGATGGGGGGCTGGTTGGGGCAAATGACTCAGTTCCTGTCTTAATTCTGGCTGCCTGAGCTTCTGGTGGATGAACCAGACACTCCCGGCTCTACTGGGAGAGAAAGCAAAGCGGTGGAGGATCAGAGGACCAGCATTGGAGCCATCAAGGTGTCTTGGCTGAGAATGAAGTACATAGCTTTGCTGGCAGGTTGGACATCCCCCCCCTTTTTTTTTACTTCTCCTCACCATCTTTTTCTTTTCCTGCATCCTATTCTGTTGTTGCTCTCCTCCCATGTCTTTTGCTTAGGTTTCTCAGGGGTGATCTCTCTCTGGGGCTTGGAGGACCTTCTGGACCATCTGGATCCACTCCAAAACTGGTGGTCATCACTGTACCCCAATAGGAACCAGAAGTGACACCTTGTCATTCTCAGTTGTTCCGAGAGCATTATATATCAACATACTTTCTCCAGTCAATATATGGATGCCTCATAAAATTTGTCAGGTTTTCTGAGGCAAGGGACAATTTCTTTGCTAACTATTAGGGCTGGGCGGTTTCGTTCGTTAATTTCGTAATTCGTTAAGAATTCGTTATTTTTCTTGAATACGAAGCGATAACAAACCATCCAGGAGCAACCAAAAAACGAAACGAATTTTTAAAGCTATTTTGTAATTGTTTTGTAATTGTTTCGTTATTATTTCAGCTCCCGGGCTGCAAAGGGGCCCGAGCAGGGGCAAGGAGAAGGGAAGGCAGGCGAGAGAGAGAGACTGAGCGAGCAAGCTCCCTTCCCGGCCTGGCTTCCTCCCCTCGCTCCCTTGGCTCCCCCCGCCCCCTTCTTCCCCCTTTTCCCGGCTCACCTGGGCATGCACACCCCACACATGCCCGGCCCGGCGCAGGGGTGGTCCGGCGGCGTGCCCGCTCGGCGGGGCCCTGGCATCCGCCGCCCTGGGAAAGACCCGCGCCCAGCAGCAGCGGCAAGGCCGACGACGCTGCGGTTGCTGACTCCCCCGATCGCCTCCCCCGCCGGGAAAAGGGAACGCAGGAGGAGGCGCAGCAACGAGACGGAGGCGACCGCCCGGTTGGTAGGGAGGGAGAGGGAGGGAGGGATAGAGAGGGGGCGGACTAAAACTATTATTATTAAAACTATTATTTAAAAAACTAATATTTTCATGTTGCGCAACCGCGTCCGCCATTTTAACGAATTGATTCGTTAATAATAACGAAATTTCGTAAATACCGAACTTTTAAAAAGGAAAATTTTGTAATTATTTTAAATATCGAAACAAAAAAACCCCCCAAATACAAATCGATTTTAGAAACAAATTTTTGCGTTGTTACCCAGGCCTACTAACTATCTTCACATGAGAGCTGCAGAAGTGGTTTTGCCAGGTTTTTTGCTCCACAATAGAACCTACTGCAATGGTATTTGTCGGCTCTCCGACATCCTTTCAAAAGGACTTTCTGACACTTTGCTTGTCCTCCTTGACCCCTCAAAGATTCATGAAATCCCAGTCAAACCACATTTTGCAATCCAAGGCTTTCCCACTGATGGCCATCCAGTCTCTGTTTCAAACATCCAAAGAAGGAGTCACCACTGGACACCCAGGCAGCATATCCCACTTCCAAATAGCTCTTCTTGTCAGGAAATGGTTTCTAATGTTTAGGTGGAATCTCTTTTTCTGAAATTCAAATCTTTGTTCTAGTCTCCAAACAAGCTTGTCCACGTAACATCCCTTCAAATATGTAAACATGGCTGTCATTTCTCCCTCTTCACCTTCTCTAAACATACCCAGTTCCTTCAGCTGCTCCTTGTTGGGCTTGGCTTCTAGACATTTCACCATCATCATGGCTCATTTCTGGACACCTTCCAACTGATCCATTTCTTCCTTGAATGGTGGTTCCCAGAACTGGTCACAATGAAACCAGAGTATAATGGTACTGTTACTTCCTTCTATTCTGACACCATGCTTTATGCACCTTGACTCATTTTCCTCCCTCCTTTTGTCCCCTTTATCTGCACCCAATTGAATATGGAAGGTGAATATGACCTTTCTTTCTTCTTTTCTTTTTCCAGTGGCATTTTCCGTTCTTTGCTGGATGGGTCCACATGCAGGTAAGAAGCAGGATTTCATGCAGAAGGTCAATGCCCCAATGTTGGGTTGTGAGGTCTCAGGAGGGCTTGGCCCTTGGGCTTGGCACTTGGATCCCATCTCAGGCATCTGGTTGAGGGGGGGGGGGGATCCCTGAGTGAGGGTGCTCCTTGGAATTATGCAAAAAGTATTTTTATTCTCTTTGCTTTCAAGTGTTGGCCAGAAGAACAGGGCTAATGGGCACCCTTTGGTTTACCTTTCTCAGGTGCTTCTCTTCTAGCCCCTTCACTCTCCTTGTCCCCTCCATACAGCACCTTTGTGAGAGGAGAGTGGATCTTGTTGGAATGCAAAGTCCCAGCAACACAGACAAGATCGCGGTCCTACTTTTGTCGAGTGAATGGACAAGGTCAATGTGCCATATACAAGGACTGGAAAACAAATYCTTKGCTAACTATCTTCACAAGASWGCTGCAGTCAAAGGAATCTTTTGGTTGCTTTTACAAAACAGAAGACAGCACAGGAAAACATTTTACATCTCCAAGGAGTAACCTCATAGTCTTCTCCATCATAGGTAAGTCTTTGCTTTTGAAATGCATTCCCTTGTTCTCAAGGCTGACCTGGTCTGGAGATTGCAGGAACAAATACTGGTACGTGTCCTTCAATAACTATAGTTCAAATGTATGTATATACAAAGCATGGCTTCTTAAGGAATATGGCTGGTGTGCTTCTATGGGAGTCGGGGACAGCGACATCTGAAAATTGTATTATCTAACTTTCTGGATGGTTTTCTCTCCTCCTTTTTCTGGGGGTATCTGCAGAGAGACCTCAAGCTCCAGTTCTCTCCCTGGACCCTCTGCACCCCGTTTACATCCCGGGAGAAGAGCTCAGCCTGAACTGCGTGGCTCCTGAGGGACAAGACGTGGCGGGATACAGATTCTCCAAGGAAGAACAAAACCAGAGTCTACTCTTATATGATATGGAAGGACCCCACAAAGCTTTCCAAGTGAGTGAAGATACTGCTGGGTGGTATTCCTGCAAGTACTGCATTCTGACCCAGGAAAGGAGGCCAATTCAGTCCCTGAGAAGTAACGCCACCCACATAGTTGTGAGAGGTGAGTTGTTGCTGAAGCGGTGCAGTTACAATGTTGACTTCATGGGAAGCAAAGAAAAGGGGGGGGGGCAGTCTAAGAATGGTATGAAGTAAACAATAGCCTTATATTTATGTACGTCATTTAGATCCCGTCTTTCTTGGAACAGGGAAATAATTCAGATGGCTTTCAATTAGGGCTATAAAGATTGTCATTGAGTTGGAGTGTGATTTCATTTTGATTTGCTTCTTCTGATCTTTTGTCTTGGTATTGTGGAAGAGAGGGGAAATTGCCCCCAGAAGAGCCTTTCCTTATTGCAGTTCTATTGTTTCTGGTGATGGTAGTTGAACTGGTAATTATGTATGCAAAATATCTGGGCGACCACATTATTTTGTGAAACAGTATTCACAGTAAAACTGGGTATCTAAGCATGAGTGAATAAAGGACAGGGATTCAGAGAAAGAGCTTGTGTGGTGGAAGCACCTCTAAGTATTAGAAGGTCTAAGATTCAGGATTGTATTGCATGGCTGGGATGGAGAGAGGCTGTTTACCATGCCCAGATTCTTAAAATCATAGTACTTCATAACTAGATACCTAAATTAGCCCCTCAGAAAACTGGATAACAATGATAGATCTATGGTACCCTGAAGTTTTCTGATGGAGGTCGGGCATCTATTCAAACCCACAGATTCAAGACCCGAGAGCCATTTTACTAATCCCTTTGTGGATGGTTCTTCTCTAGAGCTTCCCTCAAGTCCAGAGCTGAAGGTAGATCCTCCATCTGGAGAGGTATCTGAAGGGCACGCCCTGCTGATCACTTGTTCTTCCAATGGGAGAAACACGGAGAAGATTTTCCATTTCTACAAGGATGGAGCTGAGATTGGGGACACCAACCAGGGGTTTCTGAATTGCTCTGAAGTATCTCAGGGTGCCTCTTCCAAGGTCTCTCTGAGCATCTGCGTACAAGCCCAACCCAACCACACAGGAGAGTATACCTGCAGGTATGAAGAAAGCATGAACAGCAGGTGGACCATGTCTCCCTGGAGCCAGAAGATGAATGTCACAGGTGAGTCCTTTTGGAGAGGGAGGCTGCATTGTCTTCCCTAGTGGGCAGTGCTTTCTTCAGAAGGTGGATTTTCTGTTTTTGTATTTACTTGAACCTGCTGAAGGGAGGAGAAAAACTTGATGTGATCTGTTGGCACCAACTGTTACACATGGAGCATTGCCAACGAAGATACAATGGTTGGGGATTATTGTCAATCTGGATTGTGGGCTCCATACATCTGGATTGGGCCTTTGTAAATACTGCTTCTTTTCACAAAAGGGTATGAGTGAGGATGCGTAAAATTCCTGCTACCAATTTGTAACCGTTTGTAAAGGAGCCATCCCTTTGTGAGGGTTTATTTATTTGATAGCTAATAAATAATATTAATTTGGTCTTTCTTCTGGGTAGCGTGACTTAACTTGGAAATGAAATGTAACAGGGACAAGGCTTTAGGAAAAGAACAGTAACACGTTTATTGAAATGTAGAGGAAATGTGATGGATTCAATGTTTCTCTTCTCTTCGAGGTACAGATCTTCAAAGGTTAGATTTATAACTTTGCTTAAACAACTCTGGAAAGGACTCTTCCACTAAACAGGTTTCACTTATTTTTCTTCAAACTGGGTTTCTTTCTTTAATAGATTACTTCAGTTACAAGCTTAATCTTTCTTTATGATGTTTCTGTTACAGTAGAGACTTTCAACACTAACTGTTGATATAAATAAGCCAACTCGACTTATTTAACTACTCAGGCTAAAAGCCCAAACCTCCCTGATGCTTACTAAGTAGAATCAGTCCTTTCTCTGTAGTTTTTAAACTACAGATCTCTTCTGGTTCTCTCTACTCAACAGAGCAGCCTCTCCTACAGTTCACAGACTGTTGACTATTTCCCTGATATCCTCCTAGAGTATCAGTCTTCTCCTGTAGCTCTCCGACTACAGACTGACCATTTTAAAATGGTTGCCCTGCCAAGTGGCAGTTGGCTCCGCCCCTGTTTCCATGGTAACCCAGCCCAACATAAGCTGAGCTGACTGCCATCTTCCTTGGTTATGCAACACTATATACTTACCATTACCATTATTAACCCTTTAAACATCTGTCTATAATTACACATAACATTTATAATTACCCATAACTGCAAGTTAAAAATTTACACTTCACCACAGTATGTTTTCAAAAAATTGCGATTTTCCTG